AGAAGTATGTAATCTAGATGGTATCTACATGCTAAAAATTTCACACCAAAGTGAAAAAAATAAGGTGTGTCAAGCATTCACAACCTCCCTGGACAACCTATTCCAGTGCCTCAAGCCTTGAAGACCAATGAATCATTCAACTGATATACTGGGACCAGATTCCTTCAGGACAGATACTGTGACTGTGAACAATTTCATCTGCCAGTGCTGGCTTTAGGCAGAGTTGCTTAAGTCCAGAAGTAATCGAGAAACTTGCTAAGCTCTTATCTTTTGGATCTGAAAATTTTGTACATGATTATGTACAAAATTCAGACCAGTCAGTCTCACATCTGCCTGGCAAAATCCTGGAGAAGATTCTCCTTGAAGGCATGCTAAGGCACATAAAAAATGACAAGGTGCTTGGTGACAGCCAGCTTGGTTGATATGCTGGAGGGCAGGAATACCATCCAGAGGGACCTCGACGAGCTTGTGAGGTGGGCTGGTGCCAGCCTTATGAAATTTAACCATGCCAAGTGCAAGGTCCTACACCTGGGTCGGAGCAATCCCAGGCACAGCTACAGGTTGGGCAGAGAAGAGATTCAGAGCAGCCCTGCGGAGAAGGACTTGGGGGTGCTGGTTGATGAGAGGATGAACACGATCTGGCTTCAGTGTGCACTCACAGCCCAGAAAGCCAACCGTATCCTGGGCTGCATCAAAAGGAGCATGACCAGCAGGTCGAAGGACGTGATCCTGCCCCTCTACTCTGCTCTTGTGAGACCTCACCTGGAGTATTGTGTGCAGTTCTGGTGTCCTCAACACCAGAGGAACTGTTGGAACAAGTCCAGAGGAGGGCCATGAAGGATGATCAGGGGACTGGAGCACCTCCTGTATGAAGATAGGCTGAGAAAGATGGGGCTGTTCAGCCTGGGGAAGAGAAGGCTGTGTGGAGACCTCATAGCAGCCTTCCAGTGTCTGAAGGGGGCTTATAGGGATGCTGGTGAGAGACTCTTCATTAGGGACTGTAGTGATAGGAGAAGGGGCAACTGGTTAGAACTTCAACAGGGGAAGTTTAGATTAGATTTAAAGGAAGAAGTTCTTTACTGTGAGGGTAGTGAGGCACTGGAATGGGTTGCCCAAGGAAGCTGTGAATGCTCCACCCCTGGCAGTGATCAAGGCCAGGCTGGACAAAGCCTTGTTTGACATGGTTTAGTGTGAGGTGTCCCTGCCCATGGCAATGGGGTTGGAACTAGATGGACTTAAGGTCCTTTCTAACCCTAACTATTCTATGATTCTATGATTCTATGATTATACTTCTGTTCTCTGAATGTGTGTCTCAGAACTGCCATATTTCAAGTGACTGGTCAGTTAGTTCCTACATAAGCCTAGCAGTTTTCCTAGATTCCTAGGAAATGAATAAACAGTTTTCACTTTATCCCTTTTTAATTCTTAAAAAAAAAATGTATAAATATACTATACATATATATATATATACACACACATTACGTCAAGAGAAAATGCAGGACTTTGGATGCTGAGTGATTGGAAGCATCTTCTGTGCATTCTTGATTTTGGGAACTAAGTTCAAAACATGGCATCTTCTCTGAGTTTAATCTGCGTGGCTATGTCAACAACATGTAGGTTTTTCAGTAATTTTTCTGAAACATCTGATTTTCTCATATATTCACACAGTTTAAATATCTTCCTTTACAACTGAGGTTTTGTTGTGGCTATAAAGTGCTGGAATGATAATGACTATGCTCAAGAAACCTTAGAACCTTACTGGATCTATCCCTGAACTCCTTTCTCTCCACGTTAAATGCATGTTAATATTTTCTGGTGTTGCAACTTTATAGAATGGACGGTTTTAATGAATAAAAATCTTAAATTCTCAAGATGTTCACAGAAAGCTGTGCACTGTGAAAATCTGATGCGGTTATTTTTAGTATGAGATAGTGTTCTATCTTGATTTGGCTCTTAGCTAGTGAAAATACATAGTGTGAAGTAAGGCAGAGAGGTACATTAACTGTAAAAAATTGAAGGATGACTAGAATTAACTCCTGTTGTGGCTTGCCCTACTGAAACTGCTGCTTTTCAATGTGTGACCTGTTCATAATTATAGTAGGTTTTGTCTTGGCTGAACTAATTATACAGTTCAAAGTTATTTTCTGGCAGCAAAGCATAGAGAATACTAATTTGTTTCTTCAAACACATCTTAATGTCTAGTTTTGTTGATGCAGAATTATTAGGAGTGCTGATAGTTTCTGCCTTTTGAAATTATTGTTAAGGAAGCACTACCAGCATTAGTTACCAGAAAGTATTGCATGTCTGCTTCTAATTTAATGTAAAACATTTTTTTGATCAGTATTATACATGACAATTTAATCAAATCATCATATACTTTGATTTATTGGAATAATAATGTGCAAGTGATCAACTGCAATAACAAGGTAGAGCTGGAGGAGGCTTTTTGTTTCAAAGTCATTAATTTATGTATACATATTGAATAAATTTAATTATTTTGATTTACTAGTTCTCACTTCTAGGAATTTTTTAGACAGAGGTGGTTTTTGTTTGTGCTTCATTAATTGAATTCCTTGCTTTTCACTATGTTCATTCAGGTAGAATACCTTATGCTATTGCTCATTCCCCTTTGACTGTACATACCAAATGCTGTATAAAACTGCTGATTTAAATGTTAGATTTTTTTTTAAAAAAGGATTTTCCCAATTCTTCATATTACTGCTCTTCAGTATGTTTTTTGTTAACCAAATGCTACAAATGATCCCTGTGTATGCAGAATACTAAGAACTATCTCTGTTGTATTTATATCTACAGGTATGAATATTTTGATAATAATATTATCATGTGTATTTGTAAAGTAAATTATGATTTTTATTTCATTACACTTAAACTCATAATAAATTGCTGTTAACTTATGCATGTGGTGGGTTGATCTTGGCTGGATGCCAGGTGCCCACTAAAGCCACTCTACCACTGCCCTCCTCAGCTGGACAGGAGAGAGAAAATCTAACAAAAAGCTCATGAGTTGAGACAAGGACAGGGAGAGATCAGTCACCAGTTCTGCCATGGGCAAAGCAGACTTGACTTGGGGAAATTAATTTAGTTTATTAACAATCAAATCAGAGTAAGGTAATGAGAAATAAAAAATTAATCTTAAAACACCTTCCCCATCTTCCCAGGCTCAATGGCACTCCTGATTTTCTCTACTTTCTCCTCCATAGTGGCATAGGTGGACGAGGAATGGAGGGTGTATTCAGTTCATCACACACTGTCTCTGCTACTGCCTCCTCCTCACACTCTTCCCCTGCTCCATCATGGGGTCCCTCCCACAGGATTCAGTCCTCCACAAACTTTTCCAATGTGAGTCCTTCCCGCAGGCTGCAGTTCTTCATGAGCTGCTCCAGTGTGAGTCCCTTCCATGGGGTGCAGACCTTCAGGAACAGACTGTTCCACCATGCATCCCCTATGAGGTCACAGTTCCTGCCAGCAAACCTGCTACAGTGCAGGCTCCTTTCTGCACAGGGCCACAGGTCCTGACCTGACAGCAGCCTGCTCCAGTGTGGGCTTCCCACGGGGTCACAGCCTCCTTAGCTCTTAGAACTGCTTATAGTGTTTTTCTCTCTGGGGTGGTAGATAGTGGCCTACAAAGCTCCTCACAGGTCTCTTGTATTCACATATGCAGACACACACAAAGCAGCTTACCCCAAACACAGAGAAAGAAATTGTGTATGAATTAGAGTGGTTCATATAGATTCTTGGGCCTAAGCCTATACAATGAATATAAAAACTCAGTTGGAAATATTGAACAGTTTTGGAACCGTAAAATGGGCTGAATTAATGAGGTTTTGCTTAGGTGCTTGCCAAACATTTTCTAGGGAGAAAGCTAAGCACAGTCTGGAGTAGAAGACCAAATACTCTTGGATTCCCAGAAGATTCTCATGGGAAAAGAGTAACAGTTTTGTGAGCCAGAATTTTTCCAGTGCCAGGTGGACCTCTCTAAATATTCTTTACTTCGTTACTCTCTTCAGAACAAAAAGACATTTATATCAGTTGTCATAGCCACTGGGAGCTGTCTGAAGACCTATTTCTGCAAAACATTATCAACAGATTAAGATTTGTAATTCTTAGTTTTCTTTTCATGCTATATTATTTTGATCTGCATAAAATTTGTTGGAAGTTCTTTGAAATTACTGTGTATATGGCATCTTTTTTTCACAGAGAGTTTTTTTCCCTGGGACAGTGAATTCAATTTTTGAAATTGGATGCTTACAGTCACTAATGCATCCATCTTTTTAAAAAGGATTTTCTTATAAGCCTACATAAAATGGCCATGTATTAGCCTTTTAAGCTATTAGAACTGAGAAAGCTTTTGCTTAGACTGTTTATGCTTTCTATTACCCTAATTCAAGCAGATGTCTGTGTGGCCTTAGCTCATATATTTGTGAAGGAATCTTGGTTTTTAAGTTCAGAACTGTGAGTGATATCTGATGTCTTTGAGTCATTGTTACTTTAATTGTTTCTGAAATACAAATCTTTCTTGAACCCAAAGTCTGTATTTAATCTCTTGTAGCTTTAAACTGAATTTTGGATTAGTTTGTAATTGTGAACATTTCTGTTTGAAGTATGTTATGCACAATCATTGCAATGCAATTTTAATAGAAATAATCAATTTTGTATATTATTCTGAGGAAAAAAAAGTAAGTTTTATAACTTTTGTAATTCATATTGACCACAAACATATGATAAATTCAGATATTTTTACTATTACAAATGCCATTTAATGCATGGCAACCTTTTTCTATACTTCAGAGTATAACTATAGGAACTATAACTGTACTTGAATTAGGCATAACAACAGGAATAAACTTTATGTACTTTTTATTTAAAAAATAAGACAATCTTGATTGATTTCCATCTTTTATCATGGTTCTACTACAGATATGGTAGGAAATTAGAAAATTGCATTTTCAGATTTTTTGAATATTTGCATTTCTTTTTAGATTATCGACATAATGGGAGAGATCTTCAAAGTTCAACACTATCAGTGCCAGAACAAGTTATGTCATCTAATCATTGCTCTCGATCAGGGTCCCCTCACCGTGGAGATAGTATAGGACGGACTAGATCGTGGTCTCCCAGTGTCCCTCCCCCACAAAGGTAAACTGTTATTTAACTATGCAATGATATAAATTTAAGTGGTATCACTTCTGTAACAATACTGGAAAAAATCTCCATACTTTCAAAATGGAAATAATTTAGTTAAATCTTACAAAATTACGTAAAACCAATACTGTTTTCTTACATTATACTGATGTGCAAAAATTCACCTCATTATGTCTTGTTTTTCATGAAAAAACAGTACATTCCAATTTAAGGAAAAAAAAGTATTTCGTTAAACATTTATTTTCAAGAGCTATTTAGAAGGCGCTGTGTTGTATAGAATGTGATAGTTTGACATTTTCTTAGCGTTCATTTGTTAGTGATTGTTTTCAGCCTTTTGTCTGTGTAGAATTAAGGTTCTGGGAAAGCCATGCTTTCTGCCCTTGGTGGCCGTCTTTCTACTTTTTCTTTTTTTTTTTTTTTTTAACTTTTAAAGCATGGGGAATGAATTGACACACATACGATTTTCTACTGAAAAACATCAGCTCCTGATCGTAGAAGGCCTCTGATGACTATGTCTTGTGAAACAAAGATTAGGCCATTTCTTCCAAATGCTAGCTACTCAGTTGAATATACTGTTTATGCCAAAATTAAGAATTTTGCTGTATGGATAAGCTTTCTCAAGAGGAAACAGAAGAATATATGTAATGGGGAATGAAGCCTGTTTTCCAGCATTTTTGTCACTACATGTGGGTAGGTTTCCAGCTGGTGTAATTTAGCTGGAATAAAAGGGGAAGTTACTTTCTTTGCTCATAATGTTCACAGTTCCCGTTTAATACAGAAGATCTGGTATCTACTGTTTCCTGCCAGGTACATGTATTTGTCACTTTCTTCTACAGCCATTCTGATTCTCCTGTGTTCTGCTTTTCTTTCTGTTACATTTTTTCTTTTTGTTAGCTTAAAATTCTCTTGACTTTGTGTTCTCTTTCTTACATGTTTACTTACCATATCCTCTAACAAACACAGACTAAATGATATTATTTTGCATTAGTGAGATATTAGGATCCTAAATTATCCCATATGATCACAGACAGCTCACAGGCAAGAATTGTAAATTTTTACTTGGTATCTAAAATCATATGTAAATACAGCCTGACTGTAAATGAGACATAAAGGGTAGACACAAAGGGGTCTATTCTGATTTATACTATACTAATTTCAGTCTAAGTAATTGTGTGTGCTAAATCTCCTGGTGTTATTTGTCTTGGATGTAGACATAAATGTGAGAAAAAGCTCTTTCTGTGTGTTTGTGTTTGTGGTTTTATGTGTGGGCGCATGCTGTGAGCACTTTGGGTAGAAATTTTACCCAAGCTCTTTGTAATTGACACTTTCTAACACAATTGAAAAGCCTTCTTTTAATTTTTTTTGTAGTTTTGTGTTTCTTTGCATGTATGAAATGTTTCTTTCTTCCTGACTTTCCTAAAGCTAATTTTTTCAATAGAATGTTGAACTTACAGAGAAAAATGTTTGACTTTCTTCCTACTGTGTCACAATAAAATGCATTGCTTATGTAATATTTCCCTGCCTACACATCGAATCATTTTTTTGAGTACTTGTTGAGCCCAGAGAATTGGGTTGACAGAACTTGAGAGTTTGTAGAAAAGAAGCATAATCCTTCAGTTACAGAAATGTCTATTTTCTTAATTCTGATGAAAATCTAGTGTACGCAGCAAAACCATAAGCATTATTAATCCCATTTTCACCATGTTTAGTTGTGTTTGTTATACATGTGCTGCTACAGATATTTTCAAACTACAGTGAGCATGCTGTGTGCCCAGAGACCTCCTAACTACTGATTGATCCCTCTGCAGGCAGGAGCTCTTGGGCATAGCAGTACAAGTTGCTGTTATGTTTTAGAAGACATTTTGCAGTTCTCAGTCCTTCTACTGAATGGTTTTGTTAATAACCTCCACCAAAGCCACATTGCATAGTAGCTGACAAGAAGTTGTTACTACTCTTGTGATATTTTCAGCTAATGTATTTAACAGACTGTTATTCTCTCTGTAGATCAGAATGGAGTTTAGATTGTGGCAGGCACTGGACAATACATTTAGCTTTTTCTAAGACTGTGCATTTGAAAAAACAAGAGGAAGGTCGTTATGTAAAGTGGCTAGGCTGAAATGGTGTGGTAAATCTAGTAGGATGGTCATTATTCTCTACCATCACCACCTGCAATTACACCTTTTCATCTGCTTACCTGTTATCTGGTTGCTCCATACATATTCTGACAACTGCAAGAATGTTCCAAAGGAGTGAAGATGTATGTTGTGAAAGCATCTTTTCTTTTAGAACAAGATTCATTGGAGAAAGTATGTAATTTTCTGTTAAAATAGTAAATGTGGGTGCCAAAGGTGTCCTTAGCAAAGTGAAGCAGAACGGAAATAGTAGCAACACTTTCAAACAAAAGAAATGCATTAGTGTAGGATGTTAAGAAACAACATGAAATCAGAATCTAATACAGAAATTTAAATAAGTTATTTATTTAGAACAATATGCTAATAACACAATCTTAATGAAGATTATTTGAGTAGACAGGATAGTATTAAATTTTCAGGACTAAAACTTATAATCAGAGCTTAGGCAGCAGTCTAGATTGTGTGGGCAGACAGTAAAGGTCAGATCTGTGTGATGTTTTGCAAAGAAAAGACAGCTTGAGAAGTACTTAAATGAAAAGAAGATTAAAATAAGATGATCATACTACATACAGAAAAAAAAAGATATGTTTTTAAACCTGAATGAAAAGAGACCCTGAGGAAAAGGGTCAGACAGAAACTAGAATTCAGAAAGAAGCAATGAGAATTGGTTGTTGGGAAAAGTAAAAAAGTTAACAAAGAACAGCAAAGGAGCCCTGTCAATGTCAGTTTCAGATATAAAATATACATGAAAGAGTCCAATAGCAGAGCAAAGGCTATACTGGTTTTTCTATCATTTTGATGTAAAAAAGGGGGTTAGAACACGTACAGAGAAGTTACAGGAAAGAGTTGTAGAGTAGAAGGTAGACAAATTATACTTAAGTCTAATATAGCAAATATAAAGTTTACTAGCTAGTTTACTAGCTAGAGTAAACTTTATATTTGGCTTCATGAAAGCCAGAGTGAAGAAATGCTTTATGAGAAATGAAGTAGAGCTGAAAGCAAATTTTTATGTGTAGTGCAACATTTTCATAGCACTTACATGCAGAAATAGCAGCATGTGGCAGCAGCAGTGAAGGATGCTCATACAGGTTAACACTGATCAGGGACTGGCAAATGACAAAGAAGAAGGATGATAGGTACCAAAAGGGCAAACAGTGACAAGGAAGGACACAGGAACTGAATGATATAAAAGTTAAAAGAAACCCTGAGGCCCAAATTAGGGAAAAATGCAGGAAAGGACAGGAGGCGGAAGAATTTATTCATCTAAAGTTTGAATTTATGTGAAGAGAAGCATCCAAACTGTTAATTTCAAATCTGTATGAAACAATTATGTTTTAATTATCCAGTAATTATTGCAGTTATTTGTTGTCTTTCTATCTTCCTATTCTTGTGGATTTGTTTTACAGACCAGGAAAGGTGAAGTTAGTGTGTGTCAGTACATACTAATAGTTAAACTGAGCAAAACAATCAATGGGCAAAGCTTTGCTCTCAAGTAGTACAAAATTGTAAAGGTGATTAGTGCCTTTTAATGAACCCTGCACTATGTGTACCACTTATACCTAATTAAACAATTTCATCTTTTTTTCAGATTCTGTGCTAATTAGATTACAGAATAAGATTGCCAATGCAAAACAAGCACCTGTTTAATTCAGATGACAGTATTTCCAGCAGGCTGCAGTCTACCATAACAGCCAAAAGTTCTCATTGTCTTATTACAGTTTACATCTTTATAGTATAGCCAAACTTAAGAGCTCATGGAAAATTCTTTACGGTGTATGTTTTAGCTAAAAAGGAAATTTTCCTTGAAGGTACTAGATTGGAAAGACTAATGAAATTGTCCAAAATCAACCCTTAAAAAAATAAAAATAAAAAATAAAATAATAAAATTATCCCCTCATTTCCAGCACAAACGTTATGTGACAATTAAAGTATACAAAAGACAGGTCAGCTTACACATCTTACTACCGCCATGCTTTCTAATAATTGTTGGTACAAACCAGTGAGGGGACGTGGTCCAGGCACACCCAGAACTCAGAATCTGATGTCTTTTATCCTTAGTCGGAATGTGGATCAGGGACCACGAGGGACTCGATCTACTCCTGCGCATTACAATACCCTGAACCGAATGGATAGACACCGTGTTATAGATGACCACTACTCCCCGGACACAGAGAGGTAAATATCTGACTGGAATTAGAAATTAGAAACAGCTGTAGCCTACACTTACCAATGTGAATTGCTTCAGCATGGTAGCTCACTAAAGTAAATAGAAAAATTACCTAATCCCACAGATGAACATTTTCCTACTCATGTATCCACTGGTTGCATGACATACATTACAAAATATACAGTGCACATGAAGCTGACAAAACTTTTCCCTCTTTGACAAGAGGCAGTCTGAAAAATCTGAGGAATTGTACAGTGTAGAAGACAGATAGCTTAGTTGTCCCTTTCTATATTTTTTTAAAAATGTACTGTATTAATAAATTCTTTAAATGCTGAATATCTTTAACATAATCTAACAGTAGATTTGGTCATTTCTCCTGCTGAATAGAGAGGTGTAAAAATGGGTAATTTCAGCTCAGTATTAACGCAATGATCCCATTGGATGCAGTGTATTTCACATACATAAAAAAAGCATATTCTAGCCATTAGTCTTTTTTCAACTTTAGGAGACATGTTTTTTGGATAGGAGAAGAGAGAGGTTACAGCAATGTGTGTTAAAATGAAACTGGGGGTTTTGTGTGTAGAGGTGCATCTTACCCTAACCAGTGTTTTGCCTAGTGAAACTTCCAAAAGTGTGAGCAGAGCTGTAGAAACCTCTATGAATTTTAATGATGTAAAAAAGAATTGCAGGCAATAGTTAGCTAATGTAGTTAATCTTGCTGACTTAATTGCATTAGTACATTTATGGCTTAAGAAAAAAAAACCTAAAAAAGCCAAAACCAAAACATAAAATCTGCTTTTCCCATCTCATTGTCTTTAGGTCAGAAAATAAAAAGAGAAAGCATTTTTTACTTTTCGTATTAAATATTTTCCACCTTCTTATACACCAAGTTGAAAACTTACACACTATAATCAGAGAGGCATGATTGCTAGATGGTGCCCTATTTCATAATTGCATATAGGAAGTAGTAATACAGATATGTTGTGTAAACTTATTGAGTGCTATGTGACTAGTATTTGAAGTTCATACACTTTACAGATAATTATTACGGGTTATTCCTGAAGTGAACATCAAAGGTCATAATTGTTTTGCTCACTGTAATACAAAGAATTTAAAAAATCAGTAGCTTTTTGTTAGCAATATTGAACTGAAAAATGAATGTGTTTTAAAAGAACATTAATGTGATGGTCAATGACTTTCAGTAATGCAAGACAGAAATCTTTAGAAAAAAAAAATCAACCATTCCTAATAAGGTAAGTTAGAAAAAATAGTGCCAAAACAAACACACACACACACACTCCCCCATATATTCAAGTGATTTGTAATTGAATTCAGCCCCAAAAGTCAAATGGGCAAAAAAGAATTAAGATACTGAAAAGCAATCAAGTATTTATCATTCAGAATGTTTTCTGCATTTGTTAGAATTATAATAGGTAACAGGTGAATATCTTTTTCATTAAGCTATTTAATATTTCTATATAAGCTGTAGAAAAGAAGAATGTTATTTAGTTGGCTCATGCGGCTATCTGATTTTCATACAGAAGTTAATAATTTAAGGATTCTGAGCTGTTTCCTTAAAAGAAAAAAACAGAATGCTTTTGGGATAATAATATGTTGATTTTTAGACCAGCCATCCTTGAAATAGGATCTGAACTTGTCCTTAGAGTCTGTGTATGCCTTATACAATGCTCCGGGGATTTTTTACTGTGCAAGTTTACTTGCTATCTCCCAGATGAATCATAGTGGTGAAACGTGGGTTGAAGTACAATACCACAAACTTTCCCCATTGCTTCAATCAAATAACCCCTGCTGGACTGACTTGACTTAAAGAAAGAGAATTTTGTTTTTAGCATGTGTCAGAAAAACAGCATGAGAAAGTTGCTGGTGATGAGATTACTGCATTTTCACACGTCCATTCTAGATGAATATGTATTTGCTTCTTAGGCATGCTCTGAATCTCTGAACACAGGTTTATATGTCATTTGTATTTCCAACGCGCACCCACAGAAGTTCTCCTGTTCATACATGGTGAGGGGTTGCCTGTGTAATCAGGCTGTTTACTATTTATGTCTCTGTTACAACATACAGTCTCTGAAGCATATCATAAAATCATAGAATGGTTTGGGTTGGAAGAGTCCTTAATGATCATCTGGTTCCTACACCCCCCGTCACGGGCAGAGACACCTTCCACTAGGTCATGCTGCTCAAATACTGGTTTTAGGCAACACTCAAGAGAATAGAAAGAATACTAGTCCTAACCATTTATCATGTTATATATTAATTTTTATTTTGACAGTGGTTTTATGACTGGCAAGTTTATCAGATTTCAAATTTTGTTAGTGAATATTTGTGATACTGTGTTACATAATGAAAACAACATTGTGTATACAAGTCCCTAAAGTAATTCTTAAATAGTATTGATTCTGAAAACTGCTGGAAATGCAGGTGTTTGCAGAAGTGAAAAACCTGAACTTTTGTATTAGTTTATAATCTCTCTTCTTGTCATCCTTGTTTTGTTCCACACTTACCTCTGAAAAAGAATCACACTTTGCTTTCCTGCAACTCTGATGGCTTGTTGTTTACATGGTCCATTTATCCCTTGGAACTGTTTGCAAAAAAAAGGACTTTGAAAAAGTACCTTCCTGTAGACATGCTCAGTTGCTAAATTAAAATATTACTGAAAATATGAGTAGAAGATTCCTTCCTTCATTTTCTAGATAATTCAGCATAATATTCTCTAAAATATATGCCACTAAAGAGACAGTTGAAACAACCTACAAAGATGTCTAATGACCTCCAGTCTAATGACAATGTAAACATTCCTTCAAAACTGAATGCATATGTAGAAGTGAAAATAATATTGTTTTTAAAAAGCTGAAAGATGTACTTTTTTAATTTAATTTGAGATAAGTTTGATTTCAAACACCAAACGTTTAAATATGTCAAATGTTGCTATCAGATCATGTAGTGATTTTTGTTAGCAGGTTAAAGTTACAGTTAAATTTTGTATCTGTTGCACTGTTATCAAAAATGTCAGAATTGTGCTGTGTATATGGGTAACTTGTAGTGGGAAACCAAGTTAATTTGTTACCTATATCTATTTAATATAGATGTCAAAAAACAGGGACGATTTTTTTTTTTTGCACTCTTTTATTAAATAGCTTAAGTTTGTAATGGAAAGAAATATGACTACTGATGACCTAATGCAGCCCCAATTTCTGTGAGATCTTTTATCTGTAATGGGATAACCTAACATGTTGTTTGACATATCTTAACTCTAAAGCAGATTTTTGCCTCACTTCAGGAACTGAAACTAATCAAACTATAGAGAAAATATTGAAAGCAGACACATTTGATGTAAGAATTTAATATTTAAGGTATCAGTATAATTAGGTAAATTAAAGGAACTATGTGAGAATCTTATCGTAGTTTCAAAAAAAAAAATCAACCAAAACTGTATCTGTGTATTACTTTCAGAAAGATCTATCAATAGTTAACACCATCAAGACAAACACCAAGGAAGTTATATACTCAGGCCCTCAGCTCTAACCTGCTTAGATACTGTTTACTATTTATTTATCTAACTATGTTCTTTATCCTAGATATGCTCTCCCTGAGGCATGAAATTTCTAATGGTTAATGTATCATAGTAAGCAGGGCATTCAGCCTACCTTAAATAGTCTTGCATTGGAAACATATGAGAAAACTCATATATGTCTTTCTACCAGGCACTTACAAGAAAACAAGAGAGAAAAAATAAGTTAAATTTTGAGTCCACTATGCCCTCATCAGGTCTATTGCACACTTTCCATTTTAAAGCACAAAAGTGATTATCTGCCATGTTGAAGAAGTGGTGTAGACATAGCCATGATTATTTAAAGAGATATTCTCCATTATCTTCAAATAACTTCAAAGGTGATGTCTTCATATGCTGGAACTAGCAAAACTCTTACTCCACTGTTATTAAGAGATTGTTTCATTAGCATATTTAAATACAGGCTTTCTGTTGAACAGTTTCATGCTGTTGAAACAGTTTAAAAAAAAGGCAACAACCCGTATCTTAAAGGAAATACCAAAATACATGCCAAAATTCTGGTTACTATAGTCAGACCAGTGAAGACTGGAATAATCCGCTACTATGAGTCTGCTGCATGTTAGATAAATACCATTTAATTAGCTGCTTCCCTTACTTAATACAAAATTAAATGTGGCCAAGAGCAATAAAAAAATCTGTATTTCTAAAAGTTGTCTTACGCTGGCAGTTGCTTTATCAATAAGTTGCAGGCTCCTAATCCAACATTGTTAATAGTTGGGTGCCAGATTAGGTCATACTAAGAAAAGATGTTTTGAGACATTGCAGCAAAGTTAAAACCAGAAAGCTTAACAGGTAACTTTTTTCATAATCTTTATTAAATGCACATTTGAATAATAATTAAGTAGTCATTTCTTAGTTAATATTTTACAGTACAATCATTTAAGTGTATATTACAGAAACCAAGGTATTGCAGATACAAAGGGTACCTGATGCTTTATGTGGAAATTCTGGGATAATATTTTCAGTTTTTAGTTGTGTCTGGCATATGAGGTAAGTGGTATCATTGGTTTTTCACTTCTCCAAATACCCAGTAAACTATAAAAAATGCATTACTGAGATTTTTCTTATAACCATGTTATAAAATGTATGCATAATCTTAAATCTTAGCAATTGCAGTTTTTCTAAGTACTTTTTCTCCTTCCAAAATTTTATCTTATGCATTGATAGTATATTGCACTTCCTGATTATTTTGTATATCTACGTCTAGAACTGTATGTAAACACGAGACTAGAGCCCTGTACTTTCCATTAACATATTATGCCTTAACTTACAGTGTTGCCAAATACAATTTCCTTTCCCAGGGCTGTCACTAATGAGCCCTAACGGATTTAAGTGCTGAAGGGATTGCAGAGCACACTGCCATGTTTTAGCCTTGCAGTAAGGATCTCAGGAGAGTGTTTTCTCTTTGGCTGC